TGTTCTTGTTGTTTGGGAGAACCTTTCCCCTGCTCCTTATTAATAACCTTACCAGTGACAACCCGCTGATCTTCTTTGTAATCTCTTGCTTTTGGGATGCCACATTCCTCTTTGCCATGACCCAATCGATTGCATTTAGTGCAGTATTTCGGCAGATCCTCATACGTCACAGACTGAATAATCTCCTTGCTGCCTTGCATAATCAAGACCTTGGTTGGTATCTCTTGAAGTAAGTCCAACTCAACACACACTTTGGCCGTTGATGGACGAGTTAGGTTTGCCGTTGCGGCATCCACTTTGAGGGGTTTGCCAATCATCCCAGCTATAGAGAAGAGAGCTCTCTTGTCCTGGAAATGCAATGGAAGACCATCGAACATGACCCAGACTGGAACTATGGGAGATTCCACATCTGGACGGAAGTCTGGTGTCCATCTAGAGATTCGCATCTTAAAGCCCCTAATACTCCATGTCTGCCGTAGCCAACATCTTTGGAAGTCCTCCTCATTCCCGAACTTCAAAACGATGTGCCTTGGATCAAGTAACCCCAGAGATAACGGACCTTTGAATCCGATTTTCTCAAACTCCTGCCTTAGGGTTGCCATCGATGGTCTGCCTCTAACAAAAGATCCTACAAGAGCAAATTTGTGTTGATCCGCGAGCTCCACGACTTCTTCATCAGAGAATTGAACCGCAGGAAGCCCACGTCTCCTAAATGGGATTTTTAATGGTATCTCTTTGTTAGCAGCAAGCACTTCCGCAAATGATCTCGTCCCTGCTCCCGACCCTCCGGCCGGAGCAGCCCACGCGGCTGACATCCGATTTTCCCTTAACCCTTGAACGAAGAGGAAGAAATACCTGCCTATTTGCTTGCAATTTTACACCTCATCATGCTACATAAACATGGTGGATATATGATCTATACGCGTTCAATAAGTATCCATGCAGTGATGTAGTGTGAGCAGATTTAATGGAAAAGGTATCAATGTGTGCTGGAATAATAAAAGATGGGAAGAACACACATTCAATTATAGCAATCATTGTGGAGGGATAAACATTACATAAGTGCAATTTATGCATTGTATGAGAGTACAATGATCGAACCGAGGGACCCATTGGAGATGGAAACCTGGAAGTCACTTTCGTGCATCGTTGCCTACAGAAGAAAGATGGGTAAATATAGAGCCCGTTTGGTAGCACCAAAATCGGCTGTTTTGGCTGATTCTGCTGAAATTTATGATATTCTGGCTGGAGTGGCTGTTTTGGCTGATTCTGCTGATTTAAGAAAAAAATATTTTAAAAATATATTTTATTAATAAATTAAAGAAAAAATTATATGTAAAAATAGCTAAAATGGTCCTCTACAGTAACTTCAGCCAATACAGCCAGAAAAGTAACTCCAACCTTACTTTTTCGGCTTATTACACAATTCAGCGCGCGAAAGTAAAAGTTACGTGTTTGGTGAAAAAGCTGGCTGATAAGCCTGATAAGCCGAAAACAGAGTTCTCCAAACGGGCTCATAGTGAATTAATAAAATAGCTTAACTTGCACACAATGTTTACATAATCATAGGTAATAATACCATTTTGTGATGTGCAGGTACAATTGCAGAATATTTGCACTCAAAATGGCCGAAAATCTTATGATGGGAAGATAAATTGTTAGGGTGAAGGCAGATGATGTGAAGATATACATGAAGTTTTTTACAATTGAACTTAAGTGAAAGCTCAAAAGTCATAGGGCTTGTTTGCAAACACTTAAATTGCTTGTGGCTTTTTTTTAAAAGAAAAGAGCACTATTTTACCAAACACTATCAACTTTTACTTTCTCGGATTTCGTGTAGAATCTACTTTTTTACTTTTTCTATTACACAAAAAGCACTTATTTTACCAAACACTACCAACTTTTACTACTAATCACTTTTTCCCAAAAAGTGCTTTTATTTAAACACAGCACTTGCAAACAAAGCCATAGTCGTGGATTAGGAAAGTTTTATGTTAGAACTCATGGAATTGTTTTGAGACTATGAGTGCCATACATGGCACAACTTGAATGTCTTTACTGCACTAAAGAAATTACACAATGAAAAATTAATTTACAATAATGTGCAACAATCCGTAATACAAGGTATATACAATCGTTACTAATGCGTAGCAATACACCACAGGGAGAACCCCGAAGCCCAGGCGACTCAAAGAGAATGATATTGAATAGAAAGAATATTTTTGAGAAAAAACGTTACACATAATTTTTGACTTATTACCCTAAATGGGACTAAATTGTTCCTGAAATTCCTAAATAGGACTAGGTATATTTTTATTCTCCAAATAGGACTAGATTACCATTTTACCCTTATTTTCTTCCCCTTTAATAGTTTAATTTATTTCCCTGCGGGCATACCGACCCATTCCCCTCCCCTGCGCAAGTCTGTGCACATCTTCCCCCTCCCCCACGTCTATGCATCATTCTTCTTCCCAGCCCCCATCCATGCGCGTCATTCTAAGCTTCTCCTCCCCTGCGCATTTCTCCTCCCCCTTGCTCCCCTGCTCGCACATCTTCTTTTCCTTCCACTTAGCACAGGAACAACGAACCTAGAAGCGCAGTCACCGCCTCCGCCGTCGCGAAGTCCACCACTACTGAAAATTGATTTTTCTTCAGATCGGATTCTCTTCTCTTGATGTTCTGCCCCATTTCTTCTTTGATTGTTACAGAATGCCAAGTTAAACTCAGAAAATGCCATCAAAATGGCATTCTTAGTCTTCAAAAACTTTGTATTTTCCTTTGAAAATGCCATTAAAATGGCATTTTGATAAAGCTCTTGGAATTCATTCTGGCAACGGGCAGATCTGCAACTGAGGACGTCAGATTTGCAGCGCCAGATACCGGAATACCTGCGGCAGTGGCTGGATCTGCAGGGCAGCGGCCGACAGTCGGTGGTGGCTAGATCTGGCCATATCTCCGGTGATGCCCGCCAGATCTGCATCGGCGGCGGCTAGAGCTGCAACGACGTCAAGTTTTTGAGGCGATGAAGATGCCCGGCGACTGGCAGAGACCGATGGCGACTGGTGGTGGTCCAGTGTTCTGATCGGCAGCAATAAGACTTCTAGGGTGTTTTTTGTCCAATTGGAAATAATAACTCCTATTTGAGAAATTTTTAATCTTTAGTCCCATTTTGGCAATTAAAGATTGATTTACTCCTATTTAGGTAAATACCTCATAATTTTTTACACAAAAAATATAGACATTTTTTAAATTTGAGGTTGATCGGGACCTAATTTAGCCCCCTAGCTACCCCCCTGGGCTTATCATTATCCGAAATTCAAAGAGAAAGTTTCCACAATAAGAAGAGAAAAGGGGCAAATAAGGTCATGCACTAACCAAAAAAGGTCAAATAAGACCTTATTTAGGAGGCTTTGTCTGGCCATCGCCATTTGAGGTGGTTTCCGGTAGAATTCTTTTATGAAATTTTTTGAGCATCTTATTCATTAAGTCTAGTTTACTCATACCAAATTTCAGCTAAAACTTCAATCGGGAAGACATTCAAATGAATTCTTGAAGATAAAGCGCAGTTATCTTCAAGAATTCATTTGAATGACTTCCCGATTGAATTGTTAGCTGAAATTTGGTATGAGTAAACTAGACTTAATGAATAAGATGCTCAAAAAATTTCATTGAAAAATTCCACCGGGAACCACCCCAAATGGTGACGACCGGACAAAGTTTCCTAAATAAGGCCTTATTTGACCTTTTTTTTGTTAGTACGTGGCCTTATTTGCCCCTTTCCCCCAATAAGAATAAGGGTATGTTTGCAAAAACTTACAAATAAGTGATTTTTAGCCTAAAAGCTAAAAGTGTTTTCTAGTGACAACTTCTGTTTAAATAAAATACTTAAAGCCTAAAAGCTAGAATCTGCTTTTTACTTATTCTATTGTAGAAAAAACACATATTTTATCAAACAATACTAACTTTTACTTTTCAAAATCAATTTTTTCAAACATTACCAACTTTTACTATTAAACACTTTTTTTTTCAAATCACTTTAAAAAGTGATTGTTTAAAGAAAAAGCCTTTTCGTAGATAAGATTTATTAAGTTATAACTTTTTCTTTCTACAACCGCCGCCTAGGCCGGTTTAGGGTTTGTCCGGAGACGGCTCTCCGCCGTGTCTGCGAGTCCTTTATTCGTTGGATGTCTCTTTGGATTGTTTGGAAGACGTTGTCCATTGTCGAAGGCGTTGTCCGGGTTCCTCGGTCCGAGCTATTGAACGAAGGGTTTCAATACGTGTGCGAATAAGAGTTCTCTCGCTGCAGCCCCGTTTCGTCGGCGGATAATCGGATATGGAGGTGAAATTGAGTTTCGGATATTCGTTTGAATTTTCTCTTTTTGGCCTGGAAAGCTTTGTGGACAAGTACACGACAATGGAGATTGGTGCACAGGAAGAAGAATTGGATCTGAATAAAGCTGATGTTGAAGTTGTGGTGGATGAACGGTGGGCGCGTCCCCCTCCTGAGCCGCCGCCATGGAGTGCAAGCAAATCTAGGGTTTGGAAGAAGATGAGTGAATTCGTTTTTAATTTCGTTTTATTCAGTTTGTGTTTTTCTGTCGAATTGCTTGTTGTTTGGTTCTGTTTTGTTCTTTGTTTTTGCTTTATTCCTGTGTGTAAGACGTTGTTTTGGATGTGGGGATGAGAGGAATATGGTGACTGTTTTTGGCTTTTGGTTTCTCACTTATAGATCATCGAATTATATTGCTTCTCTAGAGGTGATTAATTTCAAGTCTGGTTCGCGAGATAACGGTTATCAGATTTCTTTTTGTCATTTGACTCATACTCTGAATTATCTGTTATAAATGTAAGCCGAATTCTTCCAAAAAAAGAAAAACCATTTTCATATACTCCTTAAAAATATTTGAGAATTCGAAAACAGTACAGTATGTAACATGTTTTCCAAAAAACGAGTACTCCGTATGACTAATTACTTTTAGGTATAGCCAATTTTTGGGGGCAATTTCCAAAATCGAAATCACCTCCTTAATTCCTTTTATTCCCTTTTAACCCACAACTTTTTTCTGTGTTAGACACTCTCCCTTTCCTCGCTCCGTCCACTCACAGTCTCACGGCCGCCGGCGCATCTCTCTTCTCTTCCCTCTTGCCTCTCACTCTCTCAGCTTGCCTCTCTTCGGTTTCGATTCTTAGTATTTCATCCCAATCGTCCAGTCGTTGCAGCGTTCTTCCTGCTTTAGGCTTTCAGCCGTTCAATATGGTTTGTACTTTTCTAATTTTCTTCATCTGCTTCTTCATCAATTCATTGGGCTTTCAGCAGTTTTCCAGTTTGATTAACCATTAGTGGACTATTGGTCAGCAAGCTTTCACAGCGGTTTCCGGTTTCCCGTTTTATTTTATTTTAATTTAATTTAATTGATTATTGATCATTGTTAAATTTCAGATTTTAGATTGCTGATTAGTGTAAAATTTCATAACAGTGTGAACCTTTATTAGTTGATTACTGCTCCTCAATGGGGTTGTGTGTTAAAACAAAAACAAACAAAAAACTTGATTAAAGTACTCTGTTTTTTTACTCTGTATGAAAAAGATTTGTCATTGATCAAATATAGCTTATATTTCATATATTTTCTTTCCTTTTATATTTTAATTGCCATTCTATTGTTGAGAAGGTGAGGCCTCAATTTGATATCTTGAACAGGGCCTTTCAAGTTTATTAGACGACTCTTTATTTGTTTCCATGGGTTTCTTCATTATCTGGTGCTTCCAATTATATTGGCTTTGGCTTGGTTTCAAGATTATGGTTGAGCTAGAGTACACCGGAATGATTTGTGCACCACGATTTCTCTGTATAATAACATTTGTAAGGTATGAATCTTATTTGAAATGTCCTCTTTTTGTTTACTTCTAGCTCCTTGCGGTGCTCTTGCAAATAATTTTGTCTTTTTTGGGTTTGTATTCGTTTTGAGCCTTTCAGATTACTTTAATTTTGCAGTGCCTTTTGTTGAAGTTCACTTAGATTTTCATCACACTTGCTCCGCATTTGTGTTTGACTCCATTTTGTACATCCAGTTTGATACCTCGACAAAAATGAAGTAAAAAAATGTGGGTGAGAAGTATACCTACTATTAAAGAATTTGGACTGCCTTTATCTAGTTTCCAAAGTAATATGATCTCTTGAAACTCTTACTGAAACTTCCATTTCCAAATTTTAAAAGAAGGATACGTGCAGTGGAGTATCCAAAAAAAATCGTTATGGGGGCGAACTTACCTTAGACGTTATCTCATGCATGTTACAAACTAATTTCATGAAGAAAAAAATTATAGTCTATTATCAATAGCAAAATATCAACTGGATAAAAACATTATGATATCATATTTAAATTAATTTCACTTTGTTAGAAATAAATTTACCACATGACGTTTGTAATGTGTTCAAATTTATATTCATAAATAAATTAATCAACTAAGGGAAGGATCAAGCATTTACTTAGAATAATGTTAAATTGAGAATTCACAAGTATATTAAAAAATTCAGTTTATATTATGTACAAAAATGTAATTGTTAAACTTTATGAATCATATGTATAACTAAAATTGTAATTATATTGATGTAGTTTAAATCTTTTCCACAAGATAAAAATTAAATAGAATTGTGTAAAGTCAGTTTGAATTTGTCTAAGGCTTCAAAAGGCAAAAGTAAAAAGGCAATCACAAAACTGAAGTCAAGTTTCGAACACCTGACCTTTGCAAAGCATTTTTCATACCTGGACCCTTCTTTCCGTTCTACCAAGGACACTATTAGTTACAATGCTCGTAATTGTTATATAAAACTGTAAGTTTGAGAGAATGGAATGAATTGATTTATTCCATCATTCGGGTAAAGTATATATAGGATACAAGTCTAACAGCTTCAATGATGAGATCCTAAAAATTAGGATCTGACTAACTACTAATACTTATCTAATACAAGAGAGCTAATTACATCTGATTACATTACGTATTTATCTACAACTGACTTACATTTTTTACACTCCCCCTCAAGTTGGTGAATATATATCATACATTCCCAACTTGCTTATTAGTAATTCAAACACTGGTTTGAACAACCCTTTTGTTAGAATATCAGCAGTTTGATCCTTGGTAGGCACAAATGGTGTACACACAATTCCAGCTTCAATTTTCTCTTTGATAAAGTGTCTATCCACTTCAATGTGCTTTGTTCTATCATGTAGTACTGGATTGTGTGCGATGCTAATAGCTGACTTGTTGTCACAATATAGTCTCATAGGTAACTCCAATTCCATGTTTAGTTCTTTGATCACTCTCTTGATCCAAAGTAATTCACATATACCATTAGCCATTGCCCTGAATTTTGATTCTGCACTACTTCTAGCTACCACATTCTTCTTCTTACTTCTCCAAGTCAGTAGGTTTCCCCATACATAAGTGCAGTACCCTGAAGTACATCTTCTATCACTGCCAGCATAAGCATCATCTGTAAAAGCCTCTACTGCCCTGCTATTGTTCTTTTTGAAAAACAATCCTTTTCCTAGACAACTTTTCAGATATCTCAGAATTCTGTAAGCTGCCTCAAGATGTTCTTTATATGGACAGTGCATAAACTGACTTACGATACTGACTGCAAAAGCAATATCTGGTCTTGTATGTGTCAAGTAGATAAGTCTTCCTACCAATCTCTGATATTATTGCACATTGACTGGAACCCCATCTCTGACATCTCCTAACTTTTGATTTGGGTCTATAGGAGTGTCAGCGGGTTTACATGCACTCATTCCTGTTTCCTGAAGAAGATCCAAAACATACTTCCTTTGAGATACAATAATTCTCTCTTTTGATCTAGCTATTTCCATGCCAAGAAAGTATTTTAACTCTCCCAGATCTTTGACCTCAAATTCAGTAGCAAGTTTTTTCTTCAGGTTTTGTATTTCTCCATAAAAGTCTCCTGTAATGATAATATCATCTACATAGACAATTAATATAGCAATCTCCCCCTTACTTGAGCATTTTATAAATAGAGTATGATCAGCTTGGGCCTGTTTATATCCTTTTTTTTAACAAACTGTGTGAACCTATCAAACCAAGCCCTTGGGGACTGTTTGAGTCCATACAAAGATTTTTCTAGCTTACATACTCTTGAACCAAACCTGCTTTCAAATCCAGGAGGAGGATTCATGTACACTTCCTCCTCAAGTTTTCCATTTAAAAAAGCATTCTTCACATCTAACTGTTGAATAGGTCAATCTAAATTAGCAGCAAGAGAGAAGGATTCTGATAGTATTCAACTTTGCAACTGGTGCAAAGGTCTCAGTATAGTCTATGCCATAGGTTTGTGTATAACCTTTGGCAACTAACCTTGCCTTATATCTTTCAAGAGTGCCATTTGCCTTGAACTTAGGAGTGAAAATCCATCTACATCCAACTGTGGGCTTGTTTTTAGGTAGCTCTACAACCTTCCATGTCTGATTCTTTTCAAGAGCATCCATCTCTTCTAAAACAACTTTCTTCCACTCAGGTTTAGATAGAACTTCCTGTATGGTTGATGGGATAGAAATAGAAGAGACCATAGAAGAGAATGTTGCAAATGTAGATGATAATTTAGAATAAGAAACATGGTTTGAGATAGGATATTAGACACATGACCTTCATTCTTTTCTGAGAGCTATAGGTAGATCAAGATTAGATGAGTCATTACCTTTTTCATTTACTGGCACCAGGTCAGATTCATCAACAGATGTAGGTTCAGAGACTTTCTCTTCTCTTTGATTTGGAATTTTTCTCTCATAAACCTTGCCAAAGAACTTACTGATCTGCAGATCTTCTTTTCCCATTTTATCAGTTGTATTTATTTCATTATTTTCTGAAGCTTGACCATTTTCCAATGCATCTAAATTTCTAATAGAATGCATATCTAGATTAATGTCAAGAAAATCAAGATTGTCATGAATATGTGACACATTGTTAGCATCTTCATTTAAACTCTCCCCCTGAAGATGAGTATAAAAAAATACTTGATTTTCAACAAAAACAGTGTCCATTGAAATAAACATCTTTTTTGTTGAAGGATCAAATCATTTATACCCTTTCTGTGTGGATGAAATGCCTAGAAAGACACACTTTGTTCCTTTAGGATCAAATTTACTTGCTGTTTTGTCTGGATTTTTGATAAACACGGTGCAACCAAAGATTTTTAAAGGAAGGGTGCTTATCAATCTAGTAGTAGGGTAACATTCCTGATGAATACTAATTGGAGTTTTAAACCTTAAAACTTTTGATGACATCCTATTTATTAAATAGGTAGTATGTAAAACAACATCTCCCCATAAATATTTTGGAACTTTCATTGAAAACATGATTGCACGTGTGACTTCAAGTAGATGTCTATTTTCTCTCTCAGCAATTCCATTCTGAGCTAGAGTATTAATACAAGAATTCTGATGAATTATTCCTTTTTCAGCAAAAAAATGATTCAGATTTGTAGAAAGGTATTCACGGCCATTATCACTCCTTACTATTTTGATATTGCTATTGAATTGAGTTTGGACCATGGCTTAAAACTGCTTAAATACATTTTCTATTTCTGATTTTTCCTGAATCAAGAATACCCAGGTCACTTTTGTATGATCATCAATAATTGTTACAAACCATCTTTTTCCTTTTAAGGTAGGGACTCTAGATGTTCCCCAAATATCACTATGCACAAGAGTAAAAGGACTGGTAGGTTTGTAACTGTGGGGAAGATAAGGATTTTTATGATGCTTTGCAAGTGTGCACATATCACAATGAAACTGTGAAACATTTTTATTATGAAATAATTGAGGAAACAACTTTTTTAAATAATGAAAACTAGGATGACCTAGTTTATAATTCAGTCCCTTTATCAAAGATATAGAGTCCATCTTCTTCCCTAGCACTGCCAATCATCTTCCCCGATGCCAGATCCTGAAAAATGCAATAGGAAGGACAGAATTTAACACAACATTGGAGATCTTTGGTTGATTTGCTAACAGAAACAAGATTACATGAGAGATTTGGGACATGTAGGGCTTTAGAAAGATCAATAGAAGTGGAAACTTTAACATTTTCAATTCCTGCAATGGCTGAAAGAGAGCCATCTGCAACTTTTATTTTTTTATCCCTTGCACAGGGTTTATAAGAAGAATATAGATTGGAAGTGGAGGTCATGTGGTCTGTTGCACCTGAGTCAATGACCCAGGTGATATTTGGTTTTCCAGAACAGAAAAATGATGTAATTTTACCATTCTGAGCAAAAGAACCAGAAGGATTTTCTCATTTAGGGGTCTTTTGGGTATTGAGAAGTTGCAGGAGTTGCTCTATCTGTTCCTTGGTGAAAAATGGCTGCTTGAAATTGACTTGTTGCCCTTGTTTAGTCTTAGGTATGGCAGTATGTAGGGCCCTTTCAACCTTTTTCTGTGCTGCTCCAGGTAGTTTGTCATGAATCTTCCAACAGGTTTCCCTATTGTGCCACAGCTTCTTGCATTGATCACACCAAAGCTTCTTCTTCTCATTTCCTTTGGCAATCATTGCTGAGGACTCTCCTGGTTCATCATGATGTACTGGAGTGTTATTCATGACCTTTTTCCTACTATCTTCCACCCTGATTTCAGAAAATACCTCCCTGATTGAAGGTAGAGGTTTTTTTCCCAAGAATTCTTCCCTTAACTTCATCCAGGTCTCTATTAATTCCTGCTAGGAACATATAGACCCTATCATTTTCCTCCCTCTTCTTGTGTCTTGCCAGATCCTTGGCACTCTCCCACTCTTCAGCATCATAGCATTGGTCCAACTCTTGCCATAGGGATACCATCTCATTATAGTATGAGATG